GAAGAAAATTCCCCTGAATCCAGCCCTCTTTAGCCTTTCTGTTTCATCTAAGGGGAGAAAAACAGTTAAATACAAGTGACAGTCATAGCCTGGGACACAGGCCCATGAAAAGACTGGGATTTGACCATGAGGCTACAGAATGCTTTCCCTTCCCAATACTTTGCTGCCACACCAACAGGGCTCCAGCACAATAACAGGGCATTAGCGCTGAAAGGCACACACTGCATTTAAGAAGGAGTTTTTAGGGAAAACCAAAGATTTGGGGGGAAACCTAAAAGGGGGAGAACGATAACAATAAGATAAGAGATGGAACTGAATGTAGAATGAGGTTAAATTATCCTTAATGAAGGATCAAATGCCTTGGAGCAGTGCTTCTCCATTCTTTCTAGACATTTCAATTATCTGAGGAGCACTAAGAAAAAAACACTGACCATCAAACCCCATCCTCAGAGATTCCCATTTTATTGATCTGGGGTAGGCCAGGGACAGCTGTGTTATTTAACAATTCCCCAAGTGATCCTAATATAAGCTGGGCTAGTGTTACCAAATTTGTTGAGACTTCAACTAATTTGACTGCACTAAAAGGAGTACTTTAGACCTCAGCTAATTTGGCTGAACTGAAAAGGATGCAAAAATTTTGCATAGAAAATTATGCAAATGAAAAACTGGGGCAGCTGGACGTAGTAGCTCATGCCTGTAATCCTAGCACTTTGGGAGGCCAATTCAGGCAGATTGCTGGAGATCAGGAATTCAAGACCAGTCTAGGCAACATGGAGAAACCCCATTTCTACAAAAAATACAAAAAAAGTCAGACATGGTGGTGTGTGCCTATATTCCCAGCTACTCAGGAGGCTGAGGTGGGAAAATCACCGGAACCCAGGTGGTCAAGGCCGAAGTAAGCCATGATCACTCCACTGCACTCTAGCCTGGGCAACAGAATGAGACCCTCTCTCAAAAAAGAAAAAAACAAAAAGGGAGGCCAGGCTTGATGGCTCATGCCTGTAATCCTAGCACTTTGGGAGGCTGAGGTGGGTGGATCACATGAGGTCAGGAGGTCGAGATCAGCCTGGCCAGCATGGTGAAAACCCCATCTCTACTAAAAATACAAAAATTAGCTGGGCGTGGTGGCAGGTGCCTGTAATCCCAGCTACTTGGGAGGCTGAGGCAGAAGAATCACTGGAACCTGGGAGGTGGAGGTTGCAGTGAGTGGAAGTAGACACCGCACCATTCTACTTCCAGCCTGAGTGACAAAGCAAGCTTCCATCTCAAAACAAAAAAAATAATTAAAAAAATTAAAAAAGCAAAAAATAAAAAAGGAGCAATGTGTATCCGTAGGAACAGAATACAATGAAGGAGCTCCCTGTCAGGACTGTTGCTAAGGAAACAAAGTAGTAGTGACACCAGCATCTTCCTTGAGGCCAGTTCTTCCCTTAGCTCTCAGTACACGTGGCAGGTTACACATACATTTATCTCTGTTCCCTTCTCAAACTCCATCAAAATGACAGAATGACAGGAAAGCAATACAAAAAGGTAAAAATCCACAGAAAGAAGGAAAAGACACAACAGAAATAGCAACATTTTGGAAAATGGCTCAAGTGTGTGGAAACGGAAATGTAGCTGCCCACGAGGCAGGTCAACAGGAGGCAAGCGACGGGTACCAGGTACCTCTGAAAGCAAGGCCAGAAGTGGGACTAAAAACAGGAGGACTGGTAAAAGCCTATCTTGGGAACGATTAGAGTCCCAGAGTCCCCCAGAGTTCAACCAAGCAGGTGCCCCTCCCTAATCCCAAGCAGAGACTTTTAGTCTCTCAGTAGGTGAAACCAAACTCAGGACTTCAAGCATAGGCTGGGCATAGTGGCTCGCGCCTGTAATCCCAGCACTTTGTGAGGCTGAAGTGGATGGATGGCTTGAGGTCAAGAGTTCAAGACCAGCCTGGGTAACATGGTGAAACCACGCCTCTACTAAAAATACAAAATGAACCGAGTGGAGTGGTGTGCACTTGTTATTCCGGCTACTTGAGAGGCTGAAGTAGGAGAATCGCTTGAACCCAGGAAACGGAAGTTGTAGTGAGCCAAGATGGGGCCAGTGCACCCAGCCTGGGTGACAAAAGGAGACTCTGACTCAAAAAAAAAAAAGGTGTTGGCCCAAAAATTACATAGCCGGGCATGGTGGCTCATGCCTGTAATCCAAGCACTTTGGAGGCCAAGGCGGACGGATCACCTGAGGTCGGGAGTTCAAGACCAGACTGACCAACATGGTGAAACCCTGTCTTAAAATAATAATAATAATAATAAAAGACTTCAAGCACAGTTGACGATAGGGATAAGGCACCATACTGACCCAGGGAGACAGTGAAAGTCTACATTAGGGACTGAAGAGGTCACCTTCCCCTGCCGGACTCACCTTCCCGCACTTGGGTCCTAGCACACAGAAAGCCCATGGGTACTTCACACCTAAATATCAACAAGCATTGAGGAAGGCCACAGCCACAAAGCCAGATATAAAAACAAACAAAGAGAAAAAGAGAATTGTTTTTCAGCAATTGATAAGCTGACCTTAAAGTAAGGAAATGCAAGAAACCCAGAATCACCAAAACAATCTTGAAAAAGAACAATGTTGGACAACTCATGCTTTCCAACTTCAAAACTTACTACAAAGCTACTGTCGGCCGGGTGCGGTGGCTCACACCTGTAGTCCCAGCATTTTGGGAGGCCAAGGTGGGTGGATCACTTGAGATCAGGAGTTTGAGACCAACCTGGCCAACATGGTGAAACCCCGTCTTTACTAAAAATACAAAAATTAGCCAGGTGTGATGAGGGGCACCTGTAATCCCAGCTACTCGGGAGACTGAGGCAGGAGAATCGCTTGAACCCAGAAAGCAGAGGTTGCAATGAGCTGATATTGATTGTGCCACTGCACTCCAGCCTGAGCAACACAGCAAGATTCTATCTCAAAAAATGATAATAATTCTTAAAGAACTTTTGACAGGAGAAAACAACCAAACATCTGATTGAACAAGTGGCAGCTCCTGCAATATCTGAAGCATCTGATCACTTTTATTACTCTACCTCAGCAACAAGCTTTCAGACCCGGCAATCTTCTGGAGGTAAATAAGCTGAACCACTCATTTGCCTTTGAGTGATCCTGAGCAAGTTACTCACTGAGAGGATGGAGAGGAAAAAACAAATTCAGTTTCTTCCTGCTTTACTCTCACAACAGAGAATACTACCTTTGTTGTTGTTGTTTAAATATTTAGAGATAGGATCTCACTATGCTGCCTGGGTTGGCCTCAAACTTCTGGGCTCAAACGATTCTCTGCCTTCCAAAGCGCAGGGATTACAGGCGTGAGCCACCATGCCCAGCCTCACAGAATAGTTCTGACACCAGATGTGTGGGAACCCCATACACAAAGCAGGCAATCAATTCTGCAGCTGGCAGACACCTGCTGGGTGTCCTCCCTTTCCATTTCTACACTATCAACCTGAAAGTAGCATCAGATCCCACAGGTTTAGTTCCACAAGGCTGCCCCTGATTTACGATGCCAATTGCAAGCTCCAGGTTGTTTTACCAGTGCTTCTGACCAACTGGCTATAAATTTGAAAAAGAACAAAGTCGGGTGACTCACACTTTCCCAGCACGTAGGGAGGCCAAGAGGTAGGCGGATCACTTGAGGTCATGAGTTGGAGACCAGCATGGCCAACATGGTGAAACCTTGTCTCTACTAAAAATACAATAATTAACCAGGCATGGTGGCAGGTCAGGTGCCTGTAATCCCAGCTACTCGGGAGGCTGAGGCAGGAGAATTGCTTGAATCCAGGAGGCAGAGATTGCAGTGAGTTCTCAGGATTGATAAATTTGCTGGAGAGGCTCACAGGACTCAAGGAAACACTTTATTTGCATTTACTGATTTATTATAAAGGATTTTATGAAGGATACAAATAAAGAGATGCTATGGCAAGGCATGTGAGAAGAGGTGCAGAGTATCCAAGCCCTCTCTGAGGGCACCATCCTCCAAGAACCTCCATGTGTTCAGCCATCCATAAGCTCCCCAAACCCAGTCCTTTGGAGTTTTCATGGAAGATTCATTATGTAGATGTGATTGATTAAGTCACTGGCCACTGGAGATCAAGTCAACCTTCAGTTCCTCTCCCCGTCCCAGAGTCTGGGTATAGGACTACAAGTCCCAACCTCCTAAGCACAAGGCTGGTTTCCCTGGCCACCGGCTCCCCATCCTGAGACTATCCAGGAGTCCCCAAACAAAGGTAAATTGTTAGAATACAAAAAGACACTGGCCAGGTGCAGTGGCTACCACCTGTAATCCCAGCACTTTGGGAAGCCAAGGCAGACAGATCACCTGAGCTCAAGAGTTTGAGACCAGCCTCGGCAACACCGTGAAATCCCGTCTCTACTAAAAATAAAAAAATTAACTGGGTGTGGTGGCATGTCCCTGTAGTCCCAACTACTCGAGATGCTGAGGCACGAGAATCACTTAAACACAGAAGGAAGAGGTTGCAGTGGGCCGAGATTACACCACTGTACTCCAGCCTGGGTGACACAGCGAGATTCTATCTCAAAAAAAAAAAAAAAGACACTGATCACATAGGAGATGTCAAGGATATTAGGAGACACACAAGCCAGGAAATGGGAGGAAAGCTAAATATATGTTTCACAAAATCATACCTGCCCTCTCTAAATCTCAGTTTTCTCATTTGTGAAATGAACCCAATAATACTATTTACTTTATAAGATTATTGTATTGACTACATTTTTGTATTGACTACATGAGTTCAGGTAAAGCAGAGGACACATTGTAAGAGCTCTTCAAATATCAACTACAAACTAAACTACTACTTGATACTGAAAATCTAGCTTCTGAGATTACAATCATCTCAATTCCTAAAATTCTTGACCCAGCGTAGAGTCAAGAAGCCAATAAACACAGATCTTGAGATGAAACGACCTGTGTAGAAGGAGCCAGGAAAAAGCAGAAAATTACTCACCAGTATCAATTTTATTTCTTTAAAAAAAAAAGTTTTCAGTATAATCCATGGGTTCACAAAGATTTTATTTCTAATTAACTAGCTGTAGAAACAGGCAGAGCTTATTTCTAACTAGAAATCAACCTTGCACCCTCTTCTTGAAAGATATACAAAGAAAGGTTCTGTCCAAAACATTCTCCTTTTCTTCACAGGCTCATGCTATTCCAACACTAATGCTTCTTTCTTGTCCTCCTTCTTCTGTCCAGCATTGAGTTACTACCTTCCATTCTCCAAAGGCCCATACTGAAAAACAATCAAACAGAATCAACTTTGCCAAATGACATCCTTACAAAGACTAAGCATGGAAAAAGAGAAGGCAGGAGGGAGTAGGGAGGTATGCTATTGGAAGCCCCGTGGAATTATAGGCTATGAATACAAGAGGCCGACTGGAAAGCAGATCTCAAGACAAAACAAGAAGCAAAAGGCATGGGTGACTTGAGGAAGAGGATGGGCCCTAAGTCAGGGCCCCCACGTCTTTGTACTCGGTTTTGTTTTGGTTTTTTTTTGAGATGGAGTTTCACTCTTGTTGCCTAGGCTGGAGTGCTGTGGCATAATCTCGGCTCACTGAAACCTCCACCTCCTGGGTTCAAGCCATGCTTCTGCCTCAGGCTCCCTAGTAGCTGAGATTATAGGCGTCTGCCACCACGCCCGGATAAGTTTTTGTATTTTTAGTAGAGATAGGGCTTCACTATGTCTGCCAGGCTGGTCTCAAATTCCTGACCTCAGGTAATCCACCCACCTCAGCCTCCAAAATTGCTGGGATTACAGGCCATGAGCCACCACGCCCAGCTGGTATTTTCCTAATAGCTATTATTAGTAGTCATGATTTAAATCACTGAATATTTGCTATAAATTGTGGGATGAAAAACAGAGAACTGCAACCTTCTAAAAAGATTTTGGTTAGAACTTAAGGAAAAAATATCTTCTCTTTTGCTCTTATCTCTCAGAAATTCCAGAGCCCTAGTCGGGTGTGATGGCTCACACCTATAATCCCAAGCACTTTGGGAGGCTGAGGCAGGAGGATCACTTGAGCCTGGAGTTCAAGACCAGTCTTAGTCACACAGTGGGACACCATCTCTACAAAAAATTTAAAAATGAGCTAGGCGTGATGGCACACACCTATAGTCTCAGCTATTTGGAAGGCTAAGATGGGAGGATCACTTGAGCTCAAACGATTGAGGCTGCAGTGAGCCATAATTATGCCACTGTACTCCAGCCTGGGTGACAGTGAAACTCTCAAATACAAAAACAAAACAACAACAACAAATTCAGATTCCATGTCTCCTAATAAGATAAGTAAGCAACAAAGAGGAAGAGGTGGGGAGGAGCGGGGGAACATAAACAGCTGTTCTGAGAAATAACTAATCACAAACAACCCTCAGACACATCGGTCAACACACAGCCCCCTCCAGCGCGAGCCTATAAGTCTTCCCTCCATCTCCTGCCTCTTTGCAGACAGCCCCTTCTCTGCTGTGCTGCCCTTGCAACATGTTTTCATACTTTAATAAATCTGCCTGCTGGGCTCAGTGGTTCACACCTGTAATCCCAGCACTTTGGGAGGCTGAAGTGGTCAGATCATCTGAGGTCAGAAGTTCGAGACAAGCCTGATCAATATGGTGAAATCTTGTCTTTAAAAGAAAATTTAAATTTAATTAAAAAAATAAATCTGCCTTTCTTTACCTGGTAAACTCCTTTTCTGCCTGAGACACATAATAGTCCTAAGGGACTCTAAGTTGCTCAAAAGCAACTCACACTGATTAGATTCCAGTGGGAGTTTATGTTCATACAGCCACTCACTAATGATAAGTGGTAGAAGGACCAGATCTGGACTCTGAAGACCAAGATTCAAATGGCCAGCTCTTTCATTTCTTAGCTACCTGACCTCGTAAGGGTCACTTCACCTCAACAAGGTTAAACATCTAAAATGGGCCGGGCGTGGTGGCTCACGCCTGTTATCCCAGCACTTTGGGAGGCCGAGGCAGGTGGATCACGAGGTCAAGAGATTGAGACCATCCTGATCAACATGGTGAAACCCCGTCTCTACTAAAAATACAAAAAAATTAGCTGGGCATGGTGGCGCGTGCCTGTAATCCCAGCTACTCAGGAGGCTGAGGCAGGAGAATTGCCTGAACCCAGGAGGCGGAGGTTGCGGTGAGCCGAGATTGCGCCATTGCACTCCAGCCTGGGTAAACAAGAGCGAAACTCTGTCTCAAAAAAAAAAAATCTAAAATGGTGGGATGCCTGACAACCAACATGAATTCAATACATGTTTGGAAAAAACAATACATATTTTAAACATAAAAAGCCCATTACCCATCCATCCTAGAGGCCTCTATCCAGAAATTGGCACTTAAATTGATTTTAGAGGTGCTATAAAGATGCATAGTTGGAAGAAAAGCCTCCTTAAGAAAAAAGAAACTCATTAGCTTGTGGTTGTCAAAAAGATTTAAAAAAAAAAAAAAAAAACTATTCCAGCACTTTGGGAGGCCAAGAAAGGTGGATCACTTGAGGTTGGGAGTCTGAGACCAGCCTGGCCAATGTGTTGAAACCCCGTCTGCACTAAAAATACAAAAAGTAGTTGGAAGTGGTGGCAGATGCCTATAACCCCAGCTACTTGGGACGCTGAGGCAGGAGAGTCACTTGAACCTGAGAGCCAAAGGTTGCAGTGAGCCGAGATCATGTCACTGCACTCCAGGCTGGCCAACAGAACAAGACTCCAAAAATAAAATAAAATAGGATCCCTAGAAAAGCCTCTCTCTGAAGGTGACAGCTGAGTAAAGATCTGAGGAGGTAAGGAAAGGAAGGGGCCGTGTGGCTGAATGGGGGTGAAGGGGTCCTGGCAGAGTTCAAAAGCCCCAAAGAAGGAGTACCCCTGGCAGGTTTTGGGACCAGCCAGGAGGCCAGTGTGCCTGGAAGGGAGTGAGTGAGCAGGAGTGGAGAGAGGAGGTCAGAGTGGTAGTGGGTGTGGGAGGAGCGATCGGGTCACAGGAGGCCTTGCAGGCCATTGTACAGTATTGATTTTTCATTCAGGTTAAGCTGGGACAATTGGAGGGTTTGAGTTGAGCAGTGGACTGGACAGGATCCATCCTGCCTTTTAACAGACTCGCTCTGGGTCCAGTGTGGAGAAAGTGAAGATCAGCCAGAGTGGAAGCAGGGAGACAAGTTAGGAGGCTGCTGCCATCATCCAGAGGAAAGATGCATCTGGGGTGTACTCTGAAGTACAGTCAGTAGGCTTTGTGGACGAGTTGGGTTGGATGTGGCGTGTGAGAGGAAGAGAGGAGTCATGGGTGACGCCAAGGTCTTTGGCTTGAACAGCTGGAGGAATGGAGTTGTCATTAACTGAGATGGGGAAGGCTGCATGAGGAGCAGGGATGGGGCTCAATTTTGGTGATGTTGATTACAAAATGCCTGATAGGAATCAAGTTGAAGATATTGTGGCAATTAGATCTAGAAGTCTGGAGACAGGCTGAGGCTAGACAGACACATATGGAAGCTGTCAGCATGTGGATGGTATTTAGAGTTCAGAGACTTATCCAGGTGCAATGGTTCACGCCTGTAATCTCAGCACTTTGGGAGGCCAAGGCAGGATGGCTTGAGGCCAGGTGTTCAAGACCAGCCTGAGCAACAGTGAGACCCCCCCCGACCCCCATCTCTACAAAAGCAAGACAGAGTCTCACTTTGTCACCCAGGCTATAGCGGTGCAATCTCACTGCAACCTCTGCCTCCCGAATTCAAGCGATTCTCGTGTCCCAACCTCCCGAGTACCTCGAATTACAGGCATGTGCCACCAAACCCAGCTAAATTTTTGTATTTTAAGTAGAAATGGGGTTTCACCATGTTGGTCAGGCTGTTCTTGAATTCCTGACCTCAAGTGATCCACCCACCTCAGCCTCCAAAACTGCTGGGATTATACACATGAGCCATGGCACCTGGTCAGAATCCTATTTAAACTGCAACCCCATATCTCTCTTCCCTGCTTGCTTACAACAAAATATATATTCTACTTAGTTATCAATGTGCCCTTCTCTAATACAATTTAAGGTCCACAAGAGCGGAGAGCCTTGCCTTTCTCATACTGCCATATGCCCGGCATTCAGAACAGGTTTGTCCAACAGAAATAAGATAGGAGCCACAAGTGCAAGCCACATACATATATTTTTTTTTTTTTTTGAGACGGAGTTTCACTGTTGTTACCCAGACTGGACAGACTGGAGTGCAATGGCATGATCTCAGTTCACTGCAACCTCCGCCTCCTGGGTTCAAGCAATTCTCCTGCCTCAGCCTCCTGAGTAGCTGGGATTACAGGCACGCGCCACTGTGCCCAGCTAATTTTTGTATTTTTAGTAGAGACGGGGTTTCACCTTGTTGACCAGGATGGTCTCGATCTCTTGACCTGGTGATCCACCCGCTTCAGCCTCCCAAAGTGCTGGGATTTTAGGCGTGAACCACCACGCATGGCCTACATACATAATTTTTTATTTTTCTAGGAAACACATTTTAAAAAGAAAAAAGTGCTGGGTTTCAAGTCAAGGCTGTGGGGAAAAAAGGCAAAAAGGTGAAACATTTTCTCTTTTTCTTTTTTGAGACAGGGTCTTACTCTGTCACTGAGGCTGGAGAGCAGTGGCATGATCACAACTCACTGCAGCCTCCATCCACCCCCCTCCCCAGGCTTGGGTGATCCTCCCGCCTCAGCCTCCTGAGTAGCCTGCACCTGGCTAATAGTTGTATTTTTTTGTAGAGACAGGCTTCCGCCATGTTGCCGAGGCTAGTCCCAAATTCCTAGACTCAAGCAATCCATCCACTTTGGCTTCCCAAAGTGCTGGAATTATAGGCGTGAGCCACCATGCCTGACCAACTATTTATAATTACGATGTATTTAACCCAATAAATCTAAAATGTTATACATGTTTATACATTATACGATAATTTACTATAAAAGTATCAGCCGGGCACGGTAGCTCACGCCTGTAATCCCAGCACTTTGGGAGGCCAAGGTGGGCGGATCACCTGAGGTCAGGAGTTCGAGACCAGCCTGACCAACATGGTGAAACCATGCCTCTAAAAAAATAATAAATAAAATAGAAGTATCAATGAGACATTTTACTTTTTCTTCATGCTAAGTCTTTAAAATCCAGAATGTATTTTATGCTCCCAGCATAGCTCCAGTGCTCAACAGCCCCATGTGGCTAGTGTTTACCACACTGGACTCTACAGCAAAGCCTGGCATAGACAGAGTAGGTACTTATATTCACTGGATGAAAGAAGGTTTTCACAGGAAGAGGCAGCTATGGTAGAGCACAGGGTTTTCTAAACTTCATTTACTCACATCCTACATTCACATTTTCTATGTGATCTATACTACTTTTTCTTAAAACATCACACTTTTTACACTTGAAAAATTATGCAAAAATAAAACTTTCATCTGGGCACGGTGGCTTACACCTGTAATCACAATACTTTAAGAGGCGGAGGTGGGCAGATCGCTTGAGCCCAGGAGTTTGAGAACAGCCTGGGCAATATGGCAAAACCCCTCTCTCTACAAAAAATACAAAAATTAGCCGGGTGAGGTGGCACCCACCGGTAGTCCCAGCTATTTGGAAGACTGATGTGGGAGGATCATCCGAGCTCAGGTAGGTCAAGGTTACAGTGAGCCGTGATCGTGCCACTGCACTCCAGCCTGGGCAAGAGTGAAACCCTGTCTCAAAATAAAAATAAAATTTTCTATTGTGTCAATAAATGAAAAAGAATTGTTCTAGGGACTAGAACGGCCTAGGCTTGAGTCCCTACTCATTTACTAGCTCTTCAGTCTACAGTAAGGACTTCATTAAGCCTCAGTTTCTTCATCTGAGGTATAGGGACAATACTGACCATCCAAATTTCACAGGGAAGGTTAAGTGAGATGTTCGTATATGTTCTTTGTATATGGGAAAGTAATCATGAAGTCAAAGGGACTAAGAAGCTAAACCAAGCCTTTCTCTCAAGCCGCTTTTCATATGGACCAATGACACACATAATCACAAATCTGTCTGACAAGACAAAGAGTAGAAGACTTGGGTTCAAACCCCTTGTCACCACTTACACCAGTGTGACCTTTAGAAATGCATTTATTCACCAAACATTTTTTATCAAGTGCCCATAACATGCAAGGCACTAGGCTGGTAGCCAAATAAAATATGAAACCTGCCGTTGAGGGATTTGCAGTCTAGCAGGAAGAAGAGACCAGCAAACAAGAAAGAACAATACATTGTTTTAAAAAATCAAGTCGTCAGGACAATCGCTTGAACCCGGGGGGTGGGGGGGGGAGGTTGCAGTGAGCCTGAGATCGCGCCACTGCACTCCAACATGGTGACAGTGAGACTCCGTCTCGAAAAAAAAAAAAAAAAATTAAGTCGTCTCTCTTAAGTCTGTTTGTTTCCTGTGAAATGAGAATAATACCTTCCCAACCTCACTCACAGGAGATGCTACAAAAACTAATTTTTAAATGTTTGTCAAATAACTCCAAAAACTTGAACCCATAATATATTAGCAAAGTACTTTTTCCTACTTGTAACCCAAAACGATGCTGGCTGTGTGAATGTCCAGCCTGAACATTCGTTCTAGTTACACTGTACTCACGAAACTCCTTCAGCTCCTGCAAATTTTAGTAAACATGAGAAACAGGAGCATGAACAGCATTAACACAAGTAATCTCAAAATCATGATCCAGGTCACAGTTCTAAGGACCATAACACAGACCTCTCAGTCACCCTGCCTAATTACTGTTCGTCAAGATAAGCAGTCACATGCTAAGTGAAACTGAATAATTTAAACGGAAGAAAGAGGAAAGTCATAAAGCAGTCTAGGTAGACACTCCTCTGTCCCAGATTTCAGCAGTCACTATGTTGCTGAGGTAACGCTGGGCTAGGTCAACAGCGTAGGCTAAAAGCCATTTTATGGGCAGAGCAAAGTGCCCACACTTCTTTAATTATTTTGTTGTTGTTATTAAAACCTCGATGATGACCCGATCAATTAAATCTCAAAGAAAAATGATCCGAAGGGCTAGGTTTCCAAGAAGCGGAAACTCTACCCACGCAGGAGTAAGTGGGTGCGAAGAAAGCAAGACGACCAAGATTCTGTGATCCCTCCTGAAGTTTAAAAACTGAATGGGACCGTCATCAAAGTCTCGGGTAGCAATCATTTCCAAAAAGGAAGGAAGAGAGAGGCTCTCAGAGGGGGTCCAGGGAGCATCTTCTTCCTGATTTCTCCCTCTCGCTCCACGCCATAAACCCATTCTCAGGCATCCCTTCCAGCTCAGTCCCAAGTCGCCCTTCCCCTGGTCGCGATCCCTCCATAAACATCGCTCCTCCCCATGCCTGGGCACCTAGGCTCCTCTCCCCTTCAGGGAGGACTCGCTCCAGCTGCACACTTGGCTGCCTGGGCGCCCATCTCCGAGCGGCCCCCGCGCTACCCGCGTCGCGCCCACCCCGCTCGGGCGGGAGCCGGGACACCCCTCCTCGGAGGCCGGAACCGCCACGCCAGGCCCCTCCCACAGGAAGCCGCCGCCCCCCGGCGCCCGGGCCGCGCCGCCCCCGGCCCACTCCGCGCCGCCCGCCGCCCCCGGCCCGCCCCACGCCGCCAGCCCGCCAGCCGCGTCCCCCGCGCCGGCGCTAGTTACCTGCCGTGGCCACAGAAGCGGCACCCAACTCCTCTCCCACTTCCGCCTTCCACCGCCCGCACTCGGGCCGGGTCACGTGACCGCGCGCGGTCACCTGACCCGGAAGAGGTTGGCCGGGCTCGCAGGTGCGGGTAACCTAGGCCTAGCCTGGGAACCTCTGGCCTCCTAGAGGTCTTTTTATCGTTTGTGTATTTGAAAGTAGAAGGGCTTTCTGCTCGCCGGATAGTCCCAGAGCAATCAAATAAATTGAGGGCTCACTGAGTGCCATTTATTCTGCCCATCAGCCTTATGGAGGCAGGGACAGGTACTAGCCCCATTTTACAGGTGAAACGACACCGTCAGTCTATTAAGTCAGCAAATATTTATTGAGCTCTTTGGTAGGGTTCCAGATAAAGTAAAGGACACCCACTTAAATTTGAATTTCAGATAAACAGCAGTTTAATATGTGTGTTCCAAATACAGAATGGGACATACTTATACTAAAAAAGTATTTGTTGATTATCTGAAGATTAAATTTAATTGAGTATCTGCCTTTTTATTTGCTGGCAACCCTACACCTGTTATATTCCAGGCACTGTTCTAAGATCCAGGAACACAAACATCTCGCCCTTTGTGGGGCATCTGTCCTTGTGACATAAAGCAAAAGTACAAATGCTTCCCAACTCCTGCCTGGGTCCACAAAACGCCCCTCCACACTAATCCAGTCGCATTCCCTTAATCTACAGGGCACAAATTATGATCTAGACAGACATATAGATGATATATATTTTTTCTTTTTATTTTTCTTGAGACAGAGTCTTGTTCTGTCACCCAGGCTGGAGTGCAGTGGTGCCATCTTGGCTCACTGCAAACTCCGCCTCCCCGATTCATGCAATTCTCCTGCCTCAGCCTCCCAAGTACAGCCGTGTCGCACCACACCTGGCCGCTTTTTGCATTTTTAGTAGAGACAGGGTTTCCTTATGTTGGCCAGTCTGGTCTCGAACTCCTGACCTAAAGTTATCCACCCACCATGACCTCCCAAAGTACTGAGATTACAGGCATGAACCACTGTGCCTGGCAGAGTTTTTTTTTTTTTGAGACGGAGTTTCGCTCTTGTTACCCAGGCTGGAGTGCAATGGCACGATCTTGGCTCATGGCAACCTCCGCCTCCTGGGTTCAGGCAATTCTCCTACCTCAGCCTCCTGAGTAGCTGGGATTACAGGCATGCACCACCATGCCCAGATAATTTTTTTTTGTATTTTTAGTAGAGACGCGGTTTCACCATGTTGACCAGGATGGTCTCGATCTCTTGACCTCGTGATCCACCTGCCTCGGCCTCCCAAAGTGCTGGGATTACAGGCTTGGGCCACCGTGCTCAGCAAAAAATATTTTTTTTAAGGTTGCTTCGGCTGGGCTTGAACTCCTAGCCTCAAGCAATCCTCTTGCTTCAGCTTCCCAAGTAGCTGAGACTACAGGCGAATGCTGCTGTGCCTGACCAAGAACATTTTATTTATTTATTTGAAACGGAGTTTCACTCTTGTAGCCCACGCTGGAGTGCAGTGGCTCAATCTTGGCTCACTGCAACCTCTGCCTCTCAAGTTCAAGCAATTCTCCTGCCTCAGCCTCCCAAGTAGCTAGGACTACAGGTGCCTGCCACCATGCCCAGCTAATTTTTGTATTTTTAGTAGAGATGGGATTTTCACCATGGTGGCTAGGCTGGTCTCAAACTCCTAACCTTGTGATCCACCCACCTCAGCCTCCCAAAGTGCTGGGATTACAGACGTGAGCCACCGCAACCGGTCTCCAAGAACATTTTAAATTGACAATCTTGACTGATGTTCTGGACAAGTTGAATGAAGTCTTGGCTTAATCCCATTGATTAAAATTAATACTAATCACCTAATTGCCTCAAAGACTTGTACTAATTATTCTGTTATTTTTGGGTCTTCGAATTTGGATGGATCCTATCATGCATACAAATTCAATTGGCTGGCCAGACGTGGAGGCTCACACCTGTAATCCCAGAACTTTGGAGGGCTGAGATCACTTGCCAGGGGCTTGAGATCAGCCTGGGCAATATGATGAAACTGCATCTCTACAAAAAAATACAAATATTAGCTGGACATGTTGGCACACTCCTGCAGTCCCAGCTAATCCGGAGGCTGAGGCATGAGACTCACTTGAACCTGGGAGGCAGACGTTACAGTGAGCCAAGATTGCGCACTGCACTCCAGCCTCGATGACAGAGTGAGACTCTGTCTCAAAAAAGAAAAAAAAAAAAAAAAAAGAGTAAAAGCTAAAATGTTTACCATGACCTATAAGGCCCAGCTGATCCCTCTCGCACTTCCCCATTATTTCTCTCGCCTCCAGCTGCTCTACCCCTCAGTATCTCCTTCAGCCTCAGGGCCTTCGGAATTGCTTGTCCCTCTGCCTGGAAAGCTCTTTCTTCACGTAGTCAGATGGCTTGAACCCCCATCTCTTTCAGATGTTTTTTCAACTGTCTCTCTCAGTGAAGTTTTTCACACCCTATCTAAAATTACAACTCCACTTTGGGAGGCTGAGGCAGGAGGATTGCTTGAGCTCGGGAGTTGGAGACAAGCCTGTGCAACATAGCAAGACCCTATTTCTACTAAAAATACAAAAAATAAGTTAGCTAGCCATGGTGGTGCACACCTGTCTTCCCAGCTACTCAGGAGGCTGGGGTGGGAGGACCACCTGAGCCCTGGAGGTAGAGGTTGCAGTGAGCCCAGATCATGCCACTGCACTCCAGCTTGGGCCATAGAGCAAGACCCTGTTTCAAAAAAGAAAAACAAAGACATACACACACACACACACACACACACACACACACTCACAGGCACACAGATATATATATACACGTGTGTTTCCCACTACAAGAAATTATGAAGACAGGAACTATATCCCAGCTCCTGAAGTAGTACCTGGTCCAGTTGAGGCCTCTTTAAATAATTTGCTCAATTAATAGATGTCATTAACATTTATTTAGCACCAAACTCAATGCTGTAGAGCTACAGTATAGGAGTTTTGTTTGTTTTTGTTTTGAGACCGAGTCTTATTCTGTTGCCCCGGCTGGAATACAATGGCGCATCTTGGCTCACTGCAACCTCCACCTCCCAGGTTCAAAGATTCTCCTGCCTCAGCCTCCTGAGTAGCAAGAACTACAGGCACGTACCACCAAGTCCAGCTAATTTTTTGTGTTTTTAGTGGAGATAGGGTTTCACCATATTAGCCAAGATGGTCTCGAACTCCTGACCTCGTGATCCCTCCCTTGTTTTTTGTTTTTTGAGGCCGTGTCTCACTCTGTCGCCTAAGCTGGAGTGCAGTGGCACAATCATGACCTCTGGGCTCAAGCATCCTTGGCCTCCTAGCTTAAGCAGTCCTCCCACCTCAGCCTCCAAGTAGGACACCACAGGTGCCCCTACTATGCTCAGCTAATTTTTTTTATAGAGGCCAGGTTTCCCCTGTTATTCAGGCTGGTCTCAAACTCCTGGGCTCAAGCAATCTTCTTGCCTGGGCCTCCCAAAATGCTGGAATTACAGGCATGAGTAACCATGCCTGGCCTAAATTTTTAAATTTTATTTTTATGGTATTTATTTATTGGAGACAGAGTCTCACTGTGCAGTAGTGGGATCATAGCTCACTGTAGCCTCGAACTTCTGGGCTTAAATGATCCTCTTGCCTCAGCCTCCCAAGCAGCTGGACCTACAGACACAAGCCACCATACTCAGCTAATTTCTTAAATTTTTTGCTGAGACAGGATCTTGCTATATTGCCCACACTGGTCTTTGTTGATAAAAAAGAATTGAACTTGGCCAGGCGCAGTGGCTCACACCTGTAATCCCAGAACTTTGGGAGGCTGAGGTGGGCAGATCACCTGAGATTGGGATCACCTGAGGTTGACCAACATGGAAAAACCCTGACTCTACTAAAAATACAAAACTAGCCAGGTGTGGTGGCGCGTGCCTGTAAGCCCAGTTATTCCGGAGGCTGAGGCAGGAGAATTGCTTGAACCTGGGAGGTGAGCCGAGATCACACCATTGCACTCCAGCCTGGGCAACAAGAGCAAAACTCTGTCTCAAAAACATAACGTAAAAAACATAAAAAAGAGTCAAACTCTGTAAAATATTTGAAGATATTTATTCTTTTTGTTGGTGTTTTTAGAGAGCAATCTTTTACTGAACAGTACTGATTCTTGTGGAGCAGGGCTAACTCATAGGAAGTGCACCTAAAAACAAAAAAGAAAAGAAAAAAAAAGGAAGTGCACCTAAGGTCAGCAGAGGTTTCTTCTGAGCCAAATAGGAGTGACCAATGGCCCATGACACAGCTCTCAGAAAATCCTGAAAAATTGACCACATTATTTCTTAATGATTTTTTGAGTTGTTTTTTTTTTGAGAGTCTTGCTGTATTGCCCAGGCTAGAGTGCAGTAGTGCAATCTCTGCCCATTGCAACCTCTGCCTCTCAGATTCAAGTGATTCTCCTGCCTCAGCCTCCCAAGTAGCTAGGATTACAGATGTGCACCATTGCACCTGGCTAATTTTTCTATTTATAGAAGAGATGGGGTTTCTTTTTTTTTGAGGCAAAGTCTCACTCTGTCACCCAGGGTGGGGTGCAGTGGTGTGATCTCAGCTCACCACAACCTCCGCCTCCTGGGTTCAAGCAATTCTCCTGCCTCAGCCTCCCAAATAGCTGGGGCTACAGGCACGAACCACCGTGCTGCGCTAATTTTTGTATTTTTTTTTTGTAGGGACGGGGTTTCACCATATTGGTCAGGCTGGTCTTGAACTCCTGATCTCAGGTGATCCGCCCGCCTGGGCCTCCCAAAGTGCTGGGATTACAGGTGTGAGCCACCGCGCCTGGCCAAGAGATGGGGTTTCACTGTGTTGTCTGGGTGGGTCTCCAACTCCCAAGCTCAAGCAATCCATTTACCTTGGCCTCCCAAAGTGCTGGGATTACAGGCATGAGCCACTGCACCTGGCCTAATTTTTGTATTTTTAGTGGAGACAGGTTTTCACCATGTTACCCGGGTTGGTCTCAAACTCCTGACCTCAGGTGATCTGCCTGAGGTCACTTCGTCCACCCAGGTATTGGGATTACAGGCGTAAGCCAGAGATTTCTTCACCTTTTTAAAAAAACAGCAGTTTTGAAACACTGTCTCAAAAGATCACTTCACTGAGAGGCTCTTTCCCCAGACATCCTGTGCTACCCACAGGACCTGCCCCCAGCAATCTGAACACTCCTTTGACTTTTACACCTCACTGCCTTTGCCCTGGTGGTCTTTCGAGACTCAACTCCAAAGTTATACACTCTGAAGTTGCCCGTCAACAATACACAAAATATCATTTTCTTTGTAGCTATTATATCAAGTAGCTCATGATGGTATAAATGAGCTCTCAATATACATTTGTTGAATAAGTGGAGTTCTTCTCAAGTTTTGGGAGCTTGGAGAATGTTAAAAGGAAAGAGAAAAGGGATTAAAATACTATAAAACTATACTCCAGAAGCTAAAGGGGTCAAGAAATGCTTTGTATTAGTAAGTATTCTTAGCGTTTACTAGAAAATAATAGCTCAAAGCCTGGTTTTTTTTTCCTATTCTTTTTTTTTCCTTTTTATTTATTTATTTAATTTTTTTTTTGAGATGGAGTTTTGCTCTTGTTACCCAGGCTGGAGTGCAATGGCGCGATCTCGGCTTGCGGCAACCTCCGCCTCCTGGGTTCAAGTAATTCTCCTGCCTCAGCCTCCCGAGTAGCTGGGACTACAGGTGCGCGCCACCATGCCCAGCTAATTTTTGTATTTTTAGTAGAGACGGGGTTTCACCATGTTGACCAGATGGTCTTGATCTCTTGACCTTGTGATCCACCCACCTCGGCCTCCCAAAGTGCTGGGATTATAGGCGTGAGCCACCGTGCCTGGCCTTTTATTTATTTCTTTTTGAGACAAAGTTTCACTGTGTCACCCAGGCTGAAGTGCAATGGCATGATCTCGGCTCACTGCAACCTCCAGCTCCTGGGTTCCAGCAATTCTCCTGCCTCAGCCTCCCAAGTAGCTGGGATTACAGGTGCCCACCACTGCGCCTGGCTAAATTTTCAGTAGAGATGGGGTTTTACCATGTTGGCCAGGCTGGTTTTGTATTCCTGACCTCAGGTGACCCACCCACCTTGGCCTCCCAAAGTGCTGGGATTATAGGCATGAGCTACCACGCCTGGCCTTACCGACTATTCTTGTACCTCAGTGGTTCTCAAAGTGTGGCCTTCAAGTTTGCAGCATCAACACTGCTTGGAACTCAGATATGCAAACGTCTTTAATCTCAGCACTTTGCGGGGCCAAGGTGGGAGGATCCCTTGAGCCCAGGAGTTTGAGACCAGTCTGCGCAACTTGGTGATACTCCCAACTTGAAAAAGATATAAAAAAATTAACCAGGTGTGGTGGTGCTCACCTGTAGCCCTAGCTGCTCAGGAGGTTGAGGCAGGATTGCTTGGGGCCAGGAGGTCAAGGCTGCTGCTGTAGTCATGCCACTGCACTCTAGCCTGGGCAATAGCGTGAGATCCCATCTCAAAAGAAAGGGAAGGATGGAAGGATGGAAGGATGGAAGGGAGGGAGGGAGGGAGGGAGGGATTCTTAGGCCCTGTCTAGACCTACTGAATCAGAAACTGAGGATAAGACCCAGTCATTTGTATTCACAAGTTCTCTAGGTGATTCTAATGTTCGAAGACCACCTATCTGAGACCCATTGACCTAGATCATTCTTCTTCATTCTAGGATTCACAGAGCAATTGCTACCAACTTCAATAAACCTGCTTTATATCGGAGTCCAATTCCCACGTTTCCTTTGCTTTTGCATCAATGTGGGAGATCAGTTGTAGAAGAAGAAATGAGAGACAGGAGTGGCAGAGTTGAAGGAATTGTTTTCTGGGCAAGAGATAAAAACTTGATTTGCGTTATGGGAGTAGATGTGGAGGGATCCAGACACCACAGACATTTCAGAGTGGTATCCAAAAAGTTTTGTGATGGCCAGGCACGGTGGCTCATGCCTGTAATCCCAGCACTTTGGGAGGCTGAAGCAGGCAAATCACAAGGTCAGAAGATTGAGACCATCCTGGCCAATATGGTGAAACCCCATCAATACTAAAATTACAAAAATTAGCCAGGCATGGTGGCGGATGCCCGTAATCTCAGCTACTCAGGAGGCTGAGGCAGGAGAATTGTTGAAACTGGGAGGTGGAGGTTGCAGTGAGTCCAGATCTCACCGCTGTACTCCAGACTGGGTGATGAGAGCAAAACTCAGTCCACCCCTAGCCAAAAAAAGAGAAAGACTGAGTTTGGGTAACTGCTGAAAGGGGACCTTCAGAAGCCCTGAAGCATTTTTGGGGTAGACAGATAAATTACAATTGAGGAATACAATTGGAGTGAAGACTTCATGAAGAAAGTTTGGATGAAGACCCAAGTCAACATTCAGTCAAAATTCACCAGATCTTGTAATCAAGAAATTTCAGATTTGCAAGGGAACCCAGAAGTCATTAAACACACCTTCTGTTCAGCTCAGCAAGGAATCATTTGCTACCAAATTATATGCATTGCTTAGGGAGGCAGGTAGGGTGAGACTATAAAGACAAATTATATGCATTGCTTAGGGAGGCAGGTAGGGTGAGACTATAAAGACAAATTAGACAGACTCTGGCCTCAAGTTGCTCAAAATGAAGTGAGGGCTGTCTCAAAAGTGAAAGAAAAAAAATGAAGTGAGGGCATATAAGCAGCAGTTAATGGATAATTAGGTGGCTCAGGGATGACACCGTGGCTCACACCTGTAATCCTAGCATTTAGGAGGCCAAGGCTGGAGGACTGTTTGAACCCAGGAGTTTGAGACCAGTCTGGGCAACATGAGATCCTCATCTCTACAAAAGTAAAAATGAAAAAGTTAGCTGGGCATGGTGGTGCGGGCCTGTGGTCCCAGCTACTCAAGAGGCTGGGAGGCTCATTTGAGCCTGGGAGTTGAAGGTTGCAGTGAGCTATGATCATGTCACTGCACTCCAGCCTGGGGGCAACAGAGAAAGACCCTGTCTCCAAAAAAAAATGGGAAAGAAAGAAAGGGAGAAAGAGAGAAAGTGGCTCTGAATGAGTTTGTTTGGGTGTTACATTATTTCCACCACCTACTGACCATGGCAGCTAGACCTAGTGGCCTGAGGTAGCTATCCCTTGTCTGTAAAATAGTACCTGTCTCATAGGAGTGCTGTGATAACTAAATTAGGTAATTTGTATTGATTGGCTTTTAACCATAAGAGTATATATAGGTTTAGGCTGGGCGAGGTGGCTCACGCCTGTAATCCTAGCAGTTTGGGAGGCCGAGGTGGGTGGATCACCTGAGATCAGGAGTTCGTAGACCAGCCTGGCCATCATGGTGAAATCCCATCTTTAATATATATATGTTTTACATTTATTTACGAGATGGGGGTCTCGCTATGTTGTGGAGGCTGGTCTCACATTCCTGGGCTCAGGCAGTCCTTTCGCCTCAGCCTCCTAAATAGCTGGGACTCTAGGTGCGCACCACTACACCTGGCAGGTTTTAGCCTCAAAGGAAAAGAAGGCGCTAAGGCCTAGACGCTGAAGCGGATTTCCCAGGTATCCCCCAAGGTTTGAGCCCGCCCACACCTCGCTGTGTGCGGGCGGCGTCGCTGCGCATGCGCGCGGGCAGAGCCGTAAGATGCTAGCGCTGCCGCCAGGAGGCGCAGCCAAGTCGCGGCTGTTCTTCCGCGTTCCCTGAGGCCTGGACTGGGACTTAGGAGCCGACGCAAACTCCGTGCGCCTGCGCGCTCCCTGCTCACTCAGCCAACATGGCGCCCGTGGAGCACGTTGTGGCGGACGCTGGGGCTTTCCTGCGGGATGCGGCTCTGCAGGTACGGGGAGCTCCTTCCTGGACGAGAGAGATCTCGGCTGGCCGCCCCTCAGGGAGAGCCTTGAGTCGAGCGGAGCGTTACTTGGTGCGGGCGGGTCTGAGCTGGGGCGGTCTGTTTGCAGGACATCGGGAAGAACATTTACACCATCCGGGAGGTGGTCACTGAGATTCGGGACAAGGCCACGCGCAGGCGGCTCGCTGTCCTGCCCTACGAGCTGCGGTTCAAGGAGCCCTTACCGGAATACGTGCGGCTGGGTGAGTAGCTTTGACGGAAAGCTGTAGTCCAGGGCGCAGATGGCACCCACTTGGGTGCGAGATGGGGTCTGGCTGCCTTATCAGAGCAGTTGATTTAAAACCAGCACTTTTCTTTTTCTTTTAATTTTTTTCTTTTCTTTCTTTTTTTTTTTTTTTTTAAGACGGGGTTTCATTATGTTGGTCAGGCAGGTTTTGAACTCCCGACCTCCGGTGATTCGCCCGCCTTGGTCTCCAAAGTGCTTGGATTACAGGCGTGAGCCACTACCACGCCCTGCCAAAACCAGCACTTTCTAAGGGATCGTGGTGGGAGAGCGGCTTCCTGGGTCTGGAGGCAGCCAGTAACTAGCTGTATGCCTTCGGGCATAGCATTCAACTTTTTGCCTCAGTTACTTCATTTGCAAAATGGGAATATTAATAGTATCTGTCTCCAAGGTTGCTGTGAGCATTTACTGAGGAATATGGCAGTCAGCACAGTGTCGAGCACTTTGCAAATACTCAGTAGATTTATTTGTATTTAGGAGTTTGGATCTCTTGCTAATAATCCCTTATCCATTTCTTTTCAGATTAGTCTGATAACTGGATATAAAGATCTGCACCTGGCAGGTCTTTTATAAAGGTAGTGATTTTAGGCATTGTATTACATGTGTAAGAAAATTAGGCCAGGTGCAGTGGTTTAAGCCTATAATCCCAGCACTTTGGGAGCCTGAGGTGGGTGGATCACCGAGGTCAGGAGTTCGAGACAAGCCTGACAAAACCCCCCATCTCTACTAAAAATACAAAATTAGCTGGGCATGGTTGCGTGCTCTTGTAATTCCAGCTACTTGGGGAGGCTGAGGCAGGAGAATTGCTGAGGCAGGAGAACCTGGGAGGTGGAGGTTGCAGTGAGCCAAGATTGTGCTACTGCACTCCAGCCTGGGCAACAGAGCAAGACTCCATCTCAAAAGAAAATTAAGCAATTGTCTCTTGGCTTAGGAGTCATCGTTGTTCTCTTGTTGTGAAACAAGGCAATACCTAGGAAAGGCTCCAGAGTGGTTAGAATTATTTTAGAGGCTAGAGGCTGATAGTGGAGATGATGTTACCTCCTCTGTGATTTTTACAATTTTCTTATCCATCTTAGTAGCTTTGTGATCTTTGCCAACTTGCTAAATCTTTCCAAGGACATGCTAATAGTACTTCTGAAGATTGGCAAAGGATGAAATGAATTAACAGGTAAAGTTTTTAATGCAGCGTCTAGTATACAGTAAGTGCACAGTAAATTTCCGTTGCTGCGATTGTCTGTTTTTTAGGAAATAAGAGCAGTATATCTGGTGTTCTTTATACCAGTGTGGCAGAGGACATCTTTCTGTTAATTTCAGGGAGTTTTAAGTGTTTATTATGGATGACTGTGAAGAATAACAGCAAACAGCTGCCATTTACTATGCATTAAGCACATTCTTTTTATTTTTTCATAAACTACTAAAATTACAAGTTGAGCATCCTGGACCTGAAATCCACAGTGCTCCTAAATCTGAAACACATTTTTTTTTTGTTTTTTTGAGATTGAGTCTTGCTGTGTTGCCCAGGCTGGAGTGCAGTGGCATGATCTCAGCCCACTGCAGCCTCCACCTCCTGGGTTCCAGCAATTCTCCTGCCTTAGGCTCCTGAGTACCTGGGATTACAGGCACAGGCCACCACACTAATTTTTGTATTTCTAGTAGAGACAGGATTTCATCATGTTACCCACATGGTCTAGAATTCCTGACCTCAAGTGATCTGCCCATGTCAGCCTCCCAAAGTGAAGCATGAGCCACTGCGCCCAGCCAGCTTACTTTTATTTATTTATTTATTTTGAGGAGTCTCACTCTGTCACTCAGGCTGAAGTGCAGTGGTCAGATCTCAGCTCATTGCAACCTCCACTTCCCAGGTTCAAATGATTTTTCAGCCTCAGCCTCCTGAGTAGCTGGGATTACGGGCACGTACAACCACACCCAGATACGTTTTGTATTTTTAGTAGAGACTGGTTGGCCAGGCTGGTCTTGTACTCCTGACCTCAAGTGATCTGCCTGCCTTGGCCTCCCAAAGTGCTGGGATTATAGGTGTGAGCCATTGTGCCTGGCCCTGGCCAACTTTCTGCTTTTTCCTCTGCATTTGATAAGGATGTTACAGTAACCCTAACTCAGCACGAATCTTGGTGGTAGAGAATACAAATTTTTGAACCATAAATAGGAAAAGGTCAGAAAATGGATGAAAGTGTTATGGTTTTTCATGACGTAGTGAGCCTTTCTAAATTGTTTTTTGATAATTCCATTGGTTATCCAAGGTCATTGTTTTTTGCCTCTAACTGAAGATGGAAATCTCTTGTTTTACAGTAACTGAGTTTTCAAAGAAAACAGGAGATTACCCCAGCCTCTCTGCCACGGACATCCAAGTGCTCGCGCTCACATACCAGTTGGAAGCAGAGTTTGTTGGGGTGTCTCACCTAAAACAAGAACCACAGAAGGTAAATCAAGAGGATGGGTTTTTAAAAGCTTTTTATTGTGGGAACTATCAGATATACAAAAGTACAGGGACTCGTATAATGGAACCGGGGTCCCCATCATCCCCCTCCACAGTTATATCATAGCTAGTCTGTGTTCATCTACAGTGATCCACAGCCCTCAGTATTCTAAACTCAGACATCGTATGCCATTTTACTGATAGATATTTCTTGGTATGTCTCTTAAGATCAAGACTCTTAAAAACTTCAAAGCCATCATTACATCTACCCGAAATTAATAGTAATGCCTAATATCAAATATCCAGTCAGTGTTCACATTTCCCAGTTGTTTTGTAAATGTTAAGAGTTTGGATCAGGATCCCACTGAGGTTCGTACATTACAGTTAGCAAATGTCTCTCAGTCCCTTTTTTACTCACCTTGAGCCACGGTCTAGCTGTGTTGCTCAGGCTGGTCTCAGAACTCCTGGGCCCAAGTGATTCCTACAACCTCAGCCTCCTGATTAGTCTCTTTTGATCTGTAGGTTTTTGGGAAAGGTTGTTTAAATTTGGAAAAAGAATAAAAATATATCTGTACATGATAATTTTGTAAAAAACAATTCTTTTTGGCCAGGTGCCATGGCTTATGCCAGGGCTTTGGGAGGCCAAGGCAGGAGGTTCACTTGAGCCTAGGCATTTGAGACCAGTATGGGCAACCCTGTGTCTAAAAAAAAAAAAACATGGCCGGGCACGGTGGCTCACCCCTGTAATCCCAGCACTTTGGGAGGCCGAGTCGGGTGGATCACAAGGTCAAGAGATTGAGACCATCCTGGTCAACATGGTGAAACCCCATCTCTACTAAAAATACAAAAATTAGCTGGGCATGATGGTGCGTGCCTGTAGTCCCAGCTACTCAGGAGGCTGAGGCAGGAGAATTGCTTGAACCCAGGAGGCAGAGGTTGCGGTGAGCCTAGATTGTGCCATTGCCCTCCAGCCTGGGCAATAGAGCAAGATTTTATCTCAAAAAAAAAAGGGGGTATCTTTAATTTTGATAACCAGGGGTAAAATATGTTTTTTGTTTTTTCAAAGGTTAAAGTGAGTTCGTCAATTCAGCACCCAGAAACACCTCTGCACATTTCTGGTTTCCACCTGCCCTCCAAGGTAATTTCTTAGACAAGCTGTGCTCTTCATGCTCTTTTCTGATCCATGTCACATCTAAGTTATCTGTTCACGGAGCCAAATTTACGTGGACCAGTAACACAGTTTGTCCAGCCCTGTCTGTTCTGACTTGTATGTCATATGTGATTTCATCTGTAACCTGAGATGCTACAGATGAATTTTCAGGTTTTAAAATTTTTCCTTTTAATTTCAGCCTAAACCCCCACAAGAAACAAGAGAGAAAGGACGCCCAGCTTGTGAGCCTGAGAACTTGGAATTTAGTTCCTTCCTGTTCTGGAGAAACCCTCTGCCCAACATCGATCATGAACTGCAGGAGCTACTGGTGAGGTCTTGACTTCTGGTTTCCCTGACGACGCTTCTTCCCACTGCTCCTGTGGGCTGGGAGTTTGAAACGTCTGTTTATGTTTCAGATTGACATAAGTGAGGATGTTCCAAGTGAGGAGGAGGAGGAAGAAAACGGGTTTGAAGACAGAAAAGATGACAGCGATGACGATGCTGGTGGCTGGATAACCCCCAGCAACATCAAGCAGATCCAGCAGGAGCTGGAGCAGTGCGACGTCCCCAAGGATGTTCGGGTTGGCTGCGTGACCACAGACTTCGCCATGCAGGTGGGTGGGGTGGGCCTGGGCCATGTGTCACACACGTCATCAGCAGCGGTGCTGCTGAGGTGTGCAGACGTACACAGAGCTGGTGCTGTGCATCGCTTCTTTTCCTGGTTCTAGAAACTACTTGTGCCCTTTGGTGATTTTTAGTTTTGCTTAGAGACTAGACAAATCACGTGATACAGTGACAACATTTGTTGTCTCCTACATTTTTCTTTTTTGAGACAGAGTTTCACTCTTGTTGCCCAGGCTGGAGTGCAATGGCGTGATCTCAACTGATCACAACCTCCACCCCTGGGTTCAAGTGATTCTCCTGCCTCAGCTTCCTGAGTAGCTGGGATTATAGGCATGTGCCACCACGCCTGGCTAATTTTGTATTTTTAGTAAAGACAGGGTTTCTCCATGTTGGTCAGGCTGGTCTGGAACTCCCGACCTCAGGTGATCCGCCCGCCTCAGGCTCCCAAAGTGCTGGGATTAGAGGCATGAGCCACTGTGCCTGGCCTGTTATATAGTAGTACATTAAATATTTGCTGTTTAGTATATATATTTTTTCTGCATATATAACATCATGTGGTCAGTCAGGTTCTTAGAGAAATGAGTATATTTGGCCCAGACAAAATAAATGTCTGTTGAGAGTGTTGCTTAGTGACAGGTCACAGAAAATGATGATGGCAGGCTCCAGGGTGGTGGTAGAAAGACACCTGGGTCCTTGTCCTCGTTTACACATCTTGAGAGGCCTCCCAGGCTGTTTCCTTAGCAAAAGCCAAGGAATATGGGCAAAGCAGGGTTTGTGAAGTTCCCCTAACTGATTACAAAATTAATGTGAAAAGAAAATTGAGTTATTTCCATCTTCAACTTGTTGTAGAATGTTCTGCTGCAGCTGGGGCTACACGTGCTGGCGGTGAACGGCATGCTGATCCGCGAGGCCCGGAGCTACATCTTGCGCTGCCACGGCTGTTTCAAGTACGTAGCTGGTGACCTGGCCCCAGTGGCCTCTGTGGAACACTCTTCCTGTTTCTTTGTTTTGAGACAGAGTCTCGCTCTGTCACCCAGGCTGGGGTGCGGTCACTGAAACCTCTGCCTCCGGGTTCAAGTGATACTCCTGCCTCAGCCTCCCCAGTAGCTGGACTACAGGCCCGTACCACTGCACCCAGCTAAATTTTGTATTAGTGGAGCCAGAGTTTCACCATGTAGGTTAGGCTGGTCTTGAACTCCTGACCTCAAATGATCCATCCACCTTGGCCTCCCAAAGTGCTGGGATTACAGGTAGGAGCCACTGTGCCTGGCCCACTCTTCCTGTTCTACAGAGTTGTTTAAAAAGAAGCCCTGTATTATGTATGTGTGTTTCTTTCACCTTGTCATTCCTCTAGGCCCTGGGGTCTGTCTCCACCAGGGCACTGAGAACTTGGGGACGGAGGTTTCCAGTGACCTCCCACCTTCTCTCAGTGGCATAGGGTTAGGGACATGAGTTTTGGAACAATAAGCCTCATTCTTTAGGGATACATACTAAAATGTTTGGCCATGGAGAGTTTGGGATTTGCTTTGACATAATCCACAAGTAGAAGGAGTGGGTAGGGGTGGAGATGAAACAAGACTGGCCATGAATTGAGAGGTTTTTGTTTTTTTTTTTTTTGAGACAGAGTTTCACTCTTGTTACCCAGGCTGGAGTGCAATGGCGCCATCTCAGCTCACCACAACCTCCGCCTCCTGGGTTCAGGCAATTCTCCTGCCTCAGCCTCCTGAGTAGCTGGGATTACAGGCATATGCCACCATGCCCAGCTAATTTTATGTATTTTTAGTAGAGACGGGGTTTCATCATGTTGACCAGGATGGTCTCGATCTCTTGACTTCGTGATTCACCTGCCTCGGCCTCCCAAAGTGCTGGGATTACAGGCGTGAGCCACCGTGCCTTGGCAAATTGAGAATTTTTATAGCTGGGGGGTGATGGATACATGGGGGTTTGTTGTGTTCTTCTATCTGCTTCATGCTTGAGAGATTTTTTATTACAAAAATAGGAGTACATAGATTCAAATCCGGATTTTGGGTCCTGCTGCCTATGTGATTTTGTAAAAGCTGATTCACTTCCCTGTGTTTCAGATTCTTTGTCTTTGAGATTAGGTACACTCTGTTGCCCAGGCTGGTATTGAACTCCTGGCCTCAAACAATCCTCTTACCTCAGCTTCTTAAAGTGGTAGGATTATAGGTGTGAGGTATCAGATTTTTTTTTTTTTTTTTTTTTTTTTTTGAGACACAGTTTCACTCTTCAGGCTGGGGTGCAATGGCACGATCTCACTGCGACCTCCGTCTTCCAGGTTCAGGCGATTCTCCTGCCTCAGCCTCTCGAGTAGCTGGGACTACAGGCATGTGCCACCATGCCTGGCTAATTTTTTGTAGAGTTTCACCATATTTGCTAGAGTGGTCTTGATCTCCTGACCTCATGATCCACCTCCCTCCCAAAGTGCTGGGATTATAGGCATGAGCCACTGAGCCAGGCCCAGATTCTTGTTTTTGTTTTTTGAGACAGAGTCTCACTCTGTTGCCTAGAGTGCAGTGGCACAATCTAGGCTCACTGCAGTCTCTGCCTGCCGGGTTCAAGTGATCCTCCTGCTGCAGCCTCCTGAGTAGCTGGGACTACAGGGCACCTGCCGCCACGTTGCTAATTTTTTTGTATTTATGGTAGGGACGGGGTTGACTGTGTTGGCCAGGCTGGTCTCAGATGTCTCAGCTCAAGTGATTCGCCTGCCTTGGCCTCCCAAAGAGCTGGGATTGAGGCAGAGGTTGCGGTGAGCTGAGATCGCGCCATTGCACTGCAGCCTGGGTAACAAGAACGAAACTCCGTCTCAAAAAAAAAAAAAAAAAAGCTGGGATTGCAGGTGTGAGCTACCACGCCCGGCCTTATCATATCGGTAAAAAGATTGAGAAGATGGTTGTAAGGAACTAGGAAGACAGTCAAGGACTTGTATGCGACACAAGCAGCATGCATGTCGAGAGGGTGAACTGTTAGTTTCTTGACCACTGCCGCCTTGTTGCTTTTCTGGCTCTTGAGTTTGTTCCTGTGGTGGGGGCTGCCATTCTGTAGGGATGGCTCCGGGACCCTGGAGACCATCTGGTTGGCTTGGAAGAGCCTCTGCTTCAGCCTTGCTCGTGGAGGGTGGCCTGTGGACTTGCTCTGGGGTGGTATCTGCCATTCTGCAGGCTCAGGCTGGGTCTGGGGGGCATCACGTAGATCATCTGGTGGTGCCCTTGCTTTAGAGGCCCATAAGGAACTTTCTAAATCATCTGAGGTGCCTCACTAGGTCCCTAGCTCTTCCAGTGGGCAGGGAGAGTTGCCTCTGTGAAGCCTCATTCCCTGAAGGCCTGAGCATAACCCAGCACTCAGGCTCTGCCAACCACTGTGGCTCTGCCAGTGACAGCCCGTCACTACTGAGAGCTGCCTGTACCTTCTTCTAAAGCTTCCTGTCATTTTGCTGTTTCAGGCTCATGACAGTAAAGCTCTTGGCTTCATAAAATTTTATTTTTGGGGCTGGGTGCGGTGGCTCACCCTGTAATCCTAGCACTTTGGGAGGCTGAGGCGGGTGGATCACAAGGTCAGGAGTTTGAGACCAGCCTGACCAACATGGTAAAACCTGTCTCTACTAAAAATAGAAAAATTAGCCGAGATGTGGTGGTGGCATGTGCCTGTAATCCCAGCTACTCGGGAGGCTGAGGCAAGAGAATTACTTGAACCCAGGAGGCAGAGGTGGCAGTGAGCCAAGATTGCACCATTGCACTCCAGCCTACGTGGGCGACAGAGCAAGACTCTCAAATAAATAAATAAATAAATTCCCTTTTTTTCAGCATCCTTTGTTACAGAAGCACTAAAGTCGCCAAATTAACACTCAATTCTTAGAAACACTTGGGAGTATTCTTTATTCTTGTCAGATTAGCCCTGTGACTGCAGTTTGTTGTACAAAATAATGAGGCCCCAGCACTTGTGAGGAGGTGCTTAGTTCACTTACAAGATTTCGGGTAGGGCCTCTGGCCTCTCCTGCTGTTCCACCCAGATCGTGTGTCTTGACCGTTGGGAACTGATGGAGAGCTCCTGAAGGACAGGGACCTGGGCTACGGCTGTGCCGTTGACAGCAGCAGCTTTCTCCTGTCCAGGGTCCCCTGGGGGTGCCTGAGTGCATAGGCAGGGAAGCCTTGGGTGTGCCCTCAGCACCCGGGCTTACTTCAGCCATGGCAGTGTTAGTGGTTCCCGACTCACTGATAAATACACTCTGCTGCCTCCAGAGCCACTCCTGAGTTAATACCCAGGCTGACATTTGGAGACAAGGTAGCTCGTGGTAGGTATAATGAGGCACCCTTGGAGAAAGTGCTGTGATATGAAGGGCATTGATTCTGGAGCCAGACTGACTGGGTTTATCTGCCATGGGCCAGCTGGGTGACCTTGAGCAAGCTGTCGTCACTTGTCTGAGTTTCCCCATCCGTAAAATGGAGATGGTGCTATCCTCCCAGGAGGAGTGAGGTGAAACCTACAGAACAGAGCCTGGCGGTGTGTAGGAAGGGTTTGGGATTCACCTAACTGCATCCTATTCACTTTCACGCTTCTTTGTCTGCTCCTCATGGGGTTTATTTGCACCCTCGGAGGGATGTGGCAGCCATTTGCGGACAGCTTCAGCACGAGGCTCAGTGGCCTCTGTCTCTCTGACATGTGGTGTGGTTCAGCCCTTTTCTTCTCCTGAGGCCTGAGACCCACCTTGTGCTCTGGGGAAGTGTTTGCTGCTTGTGGCTTTGGTACAGAACATCTCCTTCTGTGTCTCCCAGGACAACCTCTGACATGAGCCGAGTGTTCTGTTCACACTGTGGGAACAAGACCCTGAAGAAAGTGTCCGTGACCGTCAGTGATGACGGCACCCTGCACATGCACTTCTCCCGCAACCCCAAAGTACTGAACCCCCGTGGGCTCCGGGTAAGTGGTGCCTCTCCCCACCCCCCTCTCAATGCCAGAATCAGAAAGAACAGAAAGGACAAAAGAGAACCTAGTCTAGTCGTTTCTGGAAGATCCAGGATTGAAAGCCTGTGTGACCTAGGTACCAAAATGGAGTTGGGAGAGAGAGTGACAAATGCTATCTAATGAGTAAGTGACCAGTCTGCAGTTGTGGCTCATGAACTGCATGAATTGCATGAATTGCAGGGGAAGGCAGAGGTTTAGATCTGTGCAGAAGGTAAAGGATGGGCCAGGTCTCCGGAAGCCCATGACCTAGAGAGGAAGGGGTGTAGAAAGCATGGCACAGAAGAGAGGGCTGGATGGGCTGGATACAGCAGCCGCTGACGCTGAGAATCAGGAGGGAAAGATTGGGGGACGAAGGAGTGGCACTGGCTTTTGCCAGCAGCAAAATAACCCTGCATGCATGAGAAGAACCTTTTTTCTTTCAATTTATGGTTATAAAACAGTACAAACAATTCCTTTTTTTTTTTTTTTTTGAGACAGTCTTGCTCTTGTCGCCCAGGCTGGAGTGCAGGGGCACAATCTTAGCTCACGGCAATCTCTGCCTCCTGAGTTCAAGTGATTCCCCTCCCTCAGCCTCCCCAGTAGCTGGGATTACAGGTGCCCGCCACCACACGTGGCTAATTTTTGTATTTTGAGTAGCGACTGGGTTTCGCCATCTTGGCCAGGCTGGTCTCAAACTCCTGACCTAGTGATCTGCCCACCTTGGCCTCCCAAAGTGCTGGGATTACAGGTGTGAGCCACTGCGCCTGACCTGTTTTTATTTTTGAGACAGCGTCTCACTCTGTCACCTAGGCTGGAATGCAGTGGCGTGATCTTGGCTCACTGAACCTCCACCTCGTGGGTTCAAACAATTCTCCTGCCTCAGCCTCCCAAGTAGCAGGGATTACAGGCACATGCCCCCATGCTTGGGTAGTTTTTGTATTTTTAGTAGAGATGGGGTTTCGCTGTGTTGGCCAGGCTGATGTCCAACACCTGACCTCAGGTGATCCTCCTGCCTCAGCCTGTCAGAGTGCTGGGATTACAGGCATGAGTCACTGCACCTGGCTAACAATTCCTGTTTACTCATCACCTGGATTTTCCATGGTTAATCTTGTACCACATCTGGTTTTTTTTCTCTCTATCCATGTACATTTTTTTTCCCTGAACCATCTGAGAGTAAACTGTATACATAATGCCCCTTTACCTTGAAACAAGGACTTTGTTTTATGTGACCACAGTATAATTATCAAAATCCACAAGTCAGCATTGCTGTGATACTACTGTGTCATCTGCAGACGCAAGTTCAGATTTGGCCAGTTGTTCCACAAATTTCCTTTCTAACAAAAGGGGATTTTTTGGGTCCAGAATCCAGTCTAGGATAACATGTTGCATTTTGTCATCTCATCTTTTTTCAGCTGGGGTCCTTTCTCAGTCTTGTGTTTGATGACCTTGAAATTTTTTAAGAGTATGAGCCCGTTTCTTTGTAGAATGTCCCTCCCCTTGGTGTGTCTGGTATTTCTGTGGGATTTAGTTGAGATTGAGTCTATGCATTTTTGGCAGGAACACCCCAGAAGGATTGCTGAGGTGTGCTCAGGGCATCGTTTCAGAGAGTAAATGATAACTAGTTGGGTGATTTACTGGTGATACTGACTTTGATCACTTGGTTCAGTGGCTTCTGCCACCTTCATCCACTAAAGTTATTTATAATTAATTATTTGTAGAAAGAGACTCAGACTATGTATATGTTATTTTTCGTTGAACTTAAGTTCCTTGAACGGTTATTAAAGTCATGATTGTCAAATGTCGATTTTTTTTTTTTTTGAGATGGAGTCTTACTCTGTCACCCAGGCTGGAGTGTAGTACACAGTCTCAGCTAACTGCAACCTCCGTCCCCTGGGTTCAAGCGATTCTCCTGCCTCATCCTCCCAAGTAGCTGTGATTACAGGCACCTGCCACCTTACCGGCTCATTTTTGTTTTTAGTAGAGATGGAGTTTCACCATCTTGACCAGGCTGGTCTTGAACTCCTGACCTTGTGATCCACCCGCCTCAGCCTCCCAAAGTGCTGGGATTATAGGTGTGAGTCACCGTGCCTGGCCACCAAATGGTGACTTCTATCATTCTTTCTGTGTTTATGTCTTGGTGTTCCACTATAAAGAGGAACTTTCCTTTTATTCCCATTTATTTACTTCTATGAGTGTAGTCTTGTGGATTTTTTTTTTTTTTCAGTCTGAAGGTTGTGATCTGTTGCTGTCATTTTGAGCCTCACACTGTGCCATGTGTGGCCAGTGGGAGCCCTTTCCAGCTGGCTCCTGTGTTCTTTTGACAGATCCCAGGTATTCTTTGAACACAACTTTCTGGCACAACAAGATGTTCGTAGACTCTTAGCCATCTTCTGCCTGTGCCCCAGGATCCACCATTTCTCTCGGGACCTCTGGTTTTTCATGTAGGATGGCTTTTAGAAGTAAAGTTTCAGGGACTGGGTGTGCTTGTTGTCCTGGGGTGTCACTGCATCTTGGCTCCGATGGACAGAGCTAGGAATTATGTACATGTGTGTATAAATACACACTGGAAATGTTTTTTATTTCTATTTCTGTATTGTCTTTAGCTGAGTCAAAATACCATGTTCCGTTTTTCATGTGTGAGTTAAGGTGAGAATCAGGTGGGAGGCAGCTGCGTGTCACCACAGTTACCATGCACTGTCATCAGGATCCGCAAGGTCGGCTGTACCTTATCAGCTGTGGCCTTGTGTGACTGTGGATTCCTTTCTTGTAACGGCCATTCCTTGTTTTATTTCCAGTATTCGCTTCCCACTCCCAAAGGGGGCAAATATGCCATCAACCCCTATCTCACCGAGGATCAGCGTTTCCCCCAGCTACGACTCTCCCGAAAGGCCAGGCAGAAAACCAACGTGTTTGACCCCGACTACATCGCTGGGGTGTCACCCTTCGTAGAGAATGACATCTCTAGCCGCTCAGCCATACTGCAGCTCCGGGACAGCACCTTGGGAGCTGGGCGGAGACGCTTAAATCCCAATGCTTCCAGAAAGAAGTTTGTGAAGAAAAGGTGAAATGCGAGTTCCCACAGACAGACTGGATGGCTGTGGTGGCTGCTGAGGAGTTCCAGTGTCGCATTTCCCCAGGCGGGTGTCACGCTGCAGCCTTGCCTGGCCATGCTCTGCTGGGTCAGCAGGGAACTGGGCCGTCTGTTGCCTGTGAAGATCCGGACTACCTGGCCGCCTGCCACATGAAGGAGAATTAGATAAAAACAGAAAGAACATAGATAAAAACAAAGAACAACGCCCTGTATCCAATCTTCAAGAAAGGAATTTCCAAAGGAGAATATTTTTCTAATAAATGTGACTGCAAGCTCCAGTGCATTTTTATTAAATAGGCCAAATTGCTCTGCTTAGGTCATGTCAAGGCCAACACTTGAGCTGCATGCTCAGAGAACAAGCATTGAGATTTATCTTCCTGCCAGAAAATACAAGCTTATCATAAAACGAAGGACTACCAGTTTCTTTTCCTTTTAACCTTTTTTTGAGACAAGTTTTCATCATTCTGGAAAGTGCAGTGTGGTCAGCTCCCAGACGGCCTTTCATCTGGATTCTCCACGGTTCTGCCTCACCTGCTTTTTCTGCACACATAGTAACAAAGTATAAGTCTCCTAGGAAAATGATATTCTTTTACATAACCACACAAATTGAAGTATCACGTTGGTACATTACTATTACCTCGTATATTCAGCACTGGAAATCATCCCGTATCAGTTCATAGAGATTTTCCACATTTTTCAGCTGCCTGGTATTGCCAAGTGCTACCAAACAAACTATTATGTACTTACCGATGTTAGCCTATTTAATCCATAGAATGTTAATAAAGGGTATGGCTGCTGTTATTTCAAGCAGTCCTGAGCTGCAAGAGGTTAAATGAATTTAACCTCACGTAGTTTAAAAGTGACAGCCTGTGAGTGGCCGGGGCAAGATTTCAACTTTGTGCTTTTAAGCAACAAATGTACCAGTGGAGATGGTAGGAAGGAGAGTGAACACTGCCTGCTTTCTGTCCCCATCTTTGTGAAACTCCTGCTCTTAAGAGGATTGATGGCTTGACACCTACCTGGAGCACAGGGTGCTGGGGGAGAGGTGAGTGGTTGTTAGAGCCTGGGGTGACTCCCACATGCCCTTTCCATTTTTGCTTGTACTCTGTTCTGTCAGACATAGAGAAGCGTAATAGGCCAGGCATGGTGGCTCATGCTTCTAACTCCAGCATTTTGGGAAGTCACGGCCGGATCGCTTGAGCCTAGGACACAGAGAACAACCTAAGCCAAAAGAATGTCTAGAGAGAATACAAGGTAAGGCTCTTAGCATAATTGCACCCCTTTCTCACCGTCCTCTTGGAATTCCTTCCCTTTCTCTCAGTCCCACCCATTTCATTCCTTATATGAGGCCGTAAGACTTATATAAGAGTGGTCAGGATTTAGCCTACAGTAAACATATAATTTTTTTTTTTCTTTTTGAGACTGATGCCCAGGCTGGAGTGCAGTGGCTCAATCTGCAGCCTCTGCCTCCTGGGTTCAAGTGATTCTCCTGCCTCAGCCTCTGGAGTAGCTGGGACTAGAAGCGTGTGCTGCCACGCCCAGCTTTTTTTTTTTTTTTTTTTTTTTGTATTTTTAGTAGAGATGGGGTTTTGCCATGTTAGCCAGGCTGTTCTCGAATTCCTGACCTCAGGTGATCTGCCTGCCTTGGACTTTCAAAGTTCTGGGATTACAGGCGTGAGCCACCACGCCCGGCCTCACATGTAATTTTAAAAAGTCATGGACCAGGTGCTGTGGTTCATGCCTGTAATCCCAACAATTTGGGAGGCCAAAGTGGGAGGATCGATTGAGCCCAGGAACTTTGAGACCAGCTTGGGCAACATAATGAGACCCCATGTCTGTAAAATACACAAAAATTAGCAGGTGTCATGATACTCAACTATAGTCCCAGCTATTTGGGAGGCTGAGGTCGGAGGATTGCTTGAGCCCCCTGAGGGTGAGGTTGCAGTGAGTTGAGATCACACCACTGCACTCCAGCCTGGGTAACAGAGACCCTGTCTCAAAAGAAGAAAACTTGTTGGCCGGGCACAGTGGTTCAGGCCTGTAATCCCAACATTTTGGGAGGCTGAGGGAGGCAGATCACTTTAACAGGAGTCTAATACCAGCCTGGCCAACATAGCAAAATCACACAAGCAAACAAACTTAGTGAAACAAATTAGCTGCTCACGGTGGTGCCACCTGTAGTCCCAGCTACTTGGGAGGCTGAGGTAAGAGGATCACTTGGGCTCAGGAGCCAGAGGGGGTTGCAGTGAGCTGAGATCCTGCCACCATACTCCAGCCTGGGTGACAGAGCAAGACTGCCTGTCTCAAAAAGCAAAACACATGGCACAGTGGCTCCCACCTGTAATCCCAGCACTTTGGGAAGCCAAGGCGGGCAGATCACCTGAGGTTGGAAGTTTGAGACCAGCCTGACCAACATGGAGAAACCCCATCTCTCTTAAAAATATAATATTAAGGCCGGGCACGGTGGCACAAGCCTGTAATCCCAGCACTTTGGGAGGCCGAGGAAGGTGGATCATGAGGTCAAGAGATCAAGACCATCCTGGTCAACAAGGTGAAACCCCGTCTCTACTAAAAATACAAAAAATTAGCTGGGCACGGTTGCGCTACTCAGTAATCCCAGCTACTCAGGAGGCTGAGGCAGGAGAATTGCCTGAACCCAGGAGGCGGAGGTTGCGGTGAGCTGAGATCGCACCATTGCACTCCAGCCTGGGTAACGAGCAAAACTCCGTTTCAAAAAAACAAAACAAATATATATATATTATTAGCTGGGTGTGATATAAGCCTAGCTACTCAGGAGGCTGAGGCAGGAGAATTGCTTGAACCCTGGGAGGTGGAGGGTGCAGTGAGCCAAGATCATGCCATTGCATTCCAGCCTGGGTAATGGGCAAAACTCGATCTCAAAAAAAAAAAAGCAGATAGGGAAAAAAGACCTGGAGCTCAACCAGGAATTGAGGCCCTGTGTCAGCTATAACCTTAGGGAAAATGCAACTTCTCTGAAGCTAATTTTTTTTTCTTCCTCTGCAGAAGAATATCATACCTGTTTCACAGTATTGTGATAAGTAGATAAAACCCTTTAGGAGGGCTTTGCTAGCTGTGAAACCCTGCATCAGTGTGCATGCATCCATTTCCCCTGAGAATTTGTGTGACTCTTTTTTTTTTCTTTGAGTTGGAGTTTTGCTCTTTTTGCCCAGGCTGTAATACAGTGGTTCAATCTCGGCTCACTGCACCCTCCGTCTCACGGGTTCAGGTGATTGTTTTGCCTCAGCCTCCCAAGTAGCTGGGATTACAGGTGCATGCCACCATGCCTAGCTAATTTTGTAGTTTTAGTAGAGACAGTTTCACCATGTTAACCAAGGCTGGTTCCAAACTCCTGACCTCAGGTGATGTGCCTACCAGCCTTTTTTTTTTGAGATCGAGTCTCGCTATGTCACCCAAGCTGGAGTGCTTTCCAGAGTGCTGGGATTACAGGCATGAGCTCCTGAACCCGGCCAGCTGTTTCTTATGCAGAAAGCATTCCAAGCTTTTGAAACCCAACTCTTCCTAGTTTAATGGTTAGTCATGTGTGGATATGGACAAGGCCTTCCATAATGTGTAGCTGGGCTCTTAGCAGAGCATGTTTTTTTTGTTTTTTTTTTTTTTTTAAGTTTCAAAATATATATATTATTTTGAATATATATATTCAAAGCCTGTAGTCCCAGCTACTTGGGAGGCTGAGGTAAGAGGATCACTTGGGCCTGACCTCAAGGAGGTCAGGCTGGTCTTGAACTCCCGACCTCAGGGTGATCCGCCCACCTTGGCCTCCAAAGTTCTTGGATTACAGGCATGAGCCACCATGCCCGGCCGTTTTTTTTTGTAAAGACAGGGTCTTGCTCTGTCACCCAGGCTGGAGTGTTGTAGTACAAACATGGCTCACTGCCACCTTGACCTCCTTTTGAGTTAAAGCGATTGGATTCTCCCATGCCAGCTTCCAGAGTAGCTGGGACTACAGGTGCCTGCCACCATGTGACTAATTATTATTATTATTATTGGAGAGATGGTGTCTCACTTTGTTGCCCAGGCTGGTCTCGAACTCCTGGGCTCAAGCAGTCTTTCCATCTTGGCCTTCCAAAATTCTGAGCTTACAGGTGTGAGTCACTGTGCCTGGCCAGAACCTTTCAAATGATTATCTTCTTGCACCTGTTGATGGCTTCTGCCGTGCAGGAGAGGGAGCTGCCTCCTAGCCCCTTGGTATCTGTAGCACTGGGCTGCAGGGTTAATTTGCATTGATTAGGAATGAGTCAAGGCAAAGCAAACAGGGTTCTTATCTCATGTTGCAAAGAATAAGAGCTCTCAAGTATTGGAGAACCTTATCAAGGAGATGAGATGAGTGAAGTGTTCTCCGGAGTGCACCGCAGGAGTGTGGGAAATCAGAAACTCCCTGATTACCGTGACCACAGCCAGAGATGGTTACACAAGAGATCAACAATCTACATGTTGCCACACCCATTCCCTGCTCCTCCACACAATCTGTCTCCTTGTAAAGAAGCAAAGCTCATACTAGAACAATGTAAGTCTTGTTAAAAAAAAAACTCGAGAGAGCTCTGTTTATACATATGCCAAGATTGAGCATGCCTGAGTACCAAAGGACAAAGGTAATACAGGTCCTCTGATCTGTATGTGACATAATAAGGGTATAATAGGCTGGGTGTGGTGACTCACCCCTGTGATCCCAGCACTTTGGGAGGCCAAAGCAGAAAGATCCCTTGAACTCAGGAGATGAAGACCAGCCTGGGCAACATGGTGAAACCCACCTCTACTAAAGAAATTTCAAAAATTAGCTTGATGTGGTGGCCTATACCTGTAGTCTCAGCTACTAAGGTGGCTGACTCAAGATTCCCTTGAATCCAGGAGGCAGAGGTTGCAGTGAGCTGAGATCGCACCACTGTACTCCATCCTGGGTGACAGGGTAAGACCCTGTCTCAAAAAAATAAATAGGGAGTTGTGGTGGCTCAGGCCTGTTGTCCTGGCCCTGGGCAACATAAAACCCTCTCATTTGTTATTAATTAATGTATAATACAAAGATGCTAGGATGCTTGCTCCCACCAGAAAAAAAAATATCAATACAAGGATGACTGGAAACAGTTTTATATTTTGTAGCCACATTTAAAAAGAAGAACCAGGCTAGGTATGATGGACTAACGCCTGTAATCCCAGCACTTTGGGGAGGCAAGGTGGTCAGATCACTTGAGGTCAAGAATTCAAGACAAGCCTGGCAAAATGGTGAAACCCCATCTCTACTAAAAATACAAAAAGCTGGGCATGGTTGCAAGTACCTATAATCCTAGCTACTCAGGAGGCTGAGGCAGGAGAATTGCTTAAACCTGGGAGGCAGGCAGAGGTTGAAGTGAGTCAAGATGGTGCCACTGCATGGTTGCCTGGACCAGAGCCAGACTCTTGTCATTCATTGATAGATAGATAGAACCCCATCTGTGTATTCGCTAATTTTTTAGAGAAAAATAAGAATAACTGACCAGGCTGGGTGTAGTGGCTCATGCCTGGAATCCCAGCACTTTGGGAGGCTTAGGCAGGCAGAAAGCTTGAGTTCAGGAGTTCAGGACCAGCCTGGGCAACATGATGAAACCCCATCTCTACGAAAAGTAAGCTGGGTATGGTGGCATGTCCCTAAAGTCCCAGCTACTTGGCTGAGGCAGGAAGACTGCTTGAGCCCAGGAGGTCGAGGCTGCAGTGAGCCAAGATCACATCACTGCACACCAGCCTGGGCAACAGAACAAGACTCTCAATTAAAAAAAAAAATCCACAACTCAGTTTGCTGCCTTGAATACAGTCTCTTAAGAACAAATAAATGTTATTTTAAGAGAATTTTGAGGTTTTTGTTTTTGTTTTGTCCTTTGAGACCGTCTTGCCCTATTGCCCAGGCTGGAGTGCGGTGGCACAATCTCAGCTGACTGCAGCCTCCATCTCTTCAAGCAGTTCTGCCTCAGCCTTCCAAGTACCTGGGACTATAGGCACATGCCACCATGCCCAGCTAATTTTTGTATTTTTGGTGAAGATAGTGTTTCACCATGTTGACCAGGCTGATCTTAAACTCCTGACCACAGGTGATCCGCCTGCCTAGACCTTCCAAAGTGCTGAGGATTACAGGTGTGAGTCACTGTGACTGGCAGAAATTTCATTTTAACCAGAGCATTCCAAGCCCAATAAAGGATGGCCTAATTCAGGTAATACATAACTTACAGAAATTATAGCAGGACACGTCCAAAGGCCGTGGCTCATGCCTCTAATCCCAGCACTTTGGGAGGCTAAAGCAGGTGGATCACAAGGTCAGGAGTTCAAGACCAGCCTAACCAACATGGTGAAACCCTGATTCTACTAAAAATAAAAAAATTAGCTGGGTGTCATGGCACGCACCTGTAATCCCAGCTACTTGGGAGGCTGAGATAGGAGAATCACTTGAACCTGGGAGTTAGAGGTTGCAGTGAGCAGCGATCACGCCACTGCATTCCAGTCTGGGTGACAGAGTGAGACTACATATCAATATATATATATATATATAGCAGGGCACACCCAAACACAGGAAGCCCAACGCAATGGTGTGAGTTGTATGCAATAGCGATAGTGGCGGTGGGGCAGAAGGACAAGAAGGGATGGTAGAACCTCTTCTACCCTAATACCAATAATCTGTTCCCCCCAGGGATACTTGGCTGGTATCCACAGGAACCACTGAGGACAACAGATACCCAGGTCCCCAGGCAGGCTTGAGAATGGCTCTGAGCTAATGTAAAAAGTGTATCATCCACAATACAGAGAAAAGCAAGGGGGCTTTGGGGACTTGTGCAGAAAAGCAGCGCCCGGGTGGACACAATGCATTAGCAGCTGACTCATGAGGATGTTCATGTTCTTTCATCAGAAGGAAAGAGAACTCCTGAGAATTCTCCTACTCTTGCTTTTTGTTTCTAGATAATGAAAACAACAAAGCTTTATGGGTCTGGCCTGCTCCCTGGGGACATAGGGGACCCTGAGGACACTGTTTTCAGTTGCTACATAATGCCTGGTACATACTCCTGGGATAGGGCCTGCTTCAGGAAAGCCCAGGGAATTGTACAGTCTTGGTACTGAGAGCAAACTAAAGCTGGAAGAAACCATGAAGACAGAGAAGAGCACTGGCAGCTGACTGGGAATGAAACTCAAGGATTCTTATTCTAACTCTGAGAGCAAGTTAGGGGTTAGGAGCTGACTGGGATCTCAATGGCCTGGGTACAAATTCTCAACTACATCACTGACTGGCTATATAACCACAGACAAGTGACATAACCACTTGGTGTTTGTTTCCTTATCTGTAACTTGATGTTATTCCCTACCTCACACCATACACAGAAATTCATTCAAAGGGGATCAGAGACTGAAATAAAAGAGCAAAAACTATAGAACTCATAAAAACACACACATGTGAATTTTCATCACCTTGGTTTAGGCAATGGTTTCTTAAATATGGCACCAAAAGCATAACTGATAGAAGGTTGGCTGGGTTTAGTGACTCATGCCTGTAATCCCAGCACTTTGGGAGGCCGAGGTGGGCCGATCACCTGAGATCAGGAGTTGGAGACCCGCCTGGCTAACATGATGAAAAAACTTACTTTCCACTTAGCTTTTTTTTTTCCTCTTTTTGAGACAGTCTCACTCTGTTTCCTAGCCTGGAGTGCAGTGGCATGATCTTGGCTCACTGCAACCTCCACCCCCTTGGGTTCAAGTGGTCCTCCTGCCTCTGCCTCCCAAGTAGCTGGGATTACAGGCACATACCACCACGACCAGCTAATTTCTGTATTAGTAGAGACAGTTTCACCATGTTGGCCAGTCTGGTCTCAAACTCCTGAGCTCTAATGATCTGCCCACCTTGGCCTCCCAAAGTGCTAGGATTACAAGCATGAGCCACTGCACCTCACTTATCCTTTTTCTTTTTTACTTTTTTTTTTTTTTTTGAGACGGAGTTTTCACTCCTGTTACCCAGGCTGGAGTGCAATGACGCGATCTTGGCTCACCGCAACCTCCGCCTCCTGGGTTCAGGCAATTCTCCTGCCCCAGCCTCCTGAGTAGCTGGGATTACAGGCATGCACCACCACGCCCAGCTAATTTTTTGTATTTTTAGTAGAGACGGGGTTTCACCATGTTGACTAGGATGGTCTCGATCTCTTGACCTCATGATCCACCCGCCTCGGCCTCTCAAAGTGCTGGGATTACAGGCTTGAGCCACCGCGCCCGGCCACTTATCCTTTCTTAGAGAGCCACTGGAGAATGTAATCCCCCCCACCAAAAAAAAAAAAGAAAGAAAAGGTAGGGGAGGAGTAAACCAAAGATGAAAATATGAGATCCAATATAAGAGAGAGGCAAAAAGACAGAAAAGACAAACCTAGAGAATGTTGAGCCCAGACTGGGACAGAAGGCTTACAGAAAGACTTTTTCTGGAAGACTAGAACTGATTAGGAAACCTGATGAGTTTGTCTAAAAAGCAGACTAAGGCACAGCGGTGCACACCTGTAATCTCAGCACTTGAGGAGGCTGAGGTTGGCAGATTGAGCTCAGTAGCTCAAGGCCAGCCTGGGCAACATAGGGAGACAACTTCTCTACAAAAAAAAAATTTTTTTAAATCAGGCACGGTGCGGTAGCTCACACCTGTAATCCCAGTAATTTGAGAGGCCAAGGCAGGCCAATTGCCTAAGGTCAGGAGTTCAAGACCAGCCTGGCCAAGATGGTGAAACCTCTCTCTACTAAAAATACAAAAAAAAAATTAGCCAGGGATGGTGGTATGTGCCTGTAATCACAGCTACTCAGGAGGCTGATGCAAAATAATCGCTTGAACCTGGGGATCAGAGGTTGCAGTGAGCTTGAGGTAGCACCACTGTACTCCAGCCTGGGTGACAGAATGGGATTCTGTCTCAAAAAAAATTTGTTTAATCAGCCAGTAGGCCAAGCCTGGTGTCTCATGCCTGTAATTCCATCACTTTGGGAGGCCGAGGCGGGTGGATTACCTAAGGTCGGGAGTTCAAGACCAGCCTGACCAACATGGAGAAACTGCGTCTTTACTGAAAATACATAATTAGCTGGGTATGGTGGCACATGCCTGTAATCCCAACTACTTGAGAGGCTGAGGCAGGAGAACACCTTAAACCCAGAGGTAGAGGTTGCGGTGAGCTGAGATTTGGCCTGATGGTTCATGCGAATGAGGTGACTTGCGGTGGGCCCCTATGTAGTTCATATTAAAATGACTGAGGATGGAAGCCAGCCATGCTGGAAACCATCAACTGAACACAACACTCAAGCTTTGGGGCATTGAGTCCCACCTCCAGATGGGTGGGGGAGACTGGAGACTGGAGAAAACAATCTCACTGGAAGAACATGGGATAGAATAGCCAGGACACTGCAGCTTCCATCAGACCCAGCTCAGGTCTTTCCAGACACTGGCCACATATGGCTATCTAAATTTAAATTAATTAAGGCCGGGCACAGTGGCTCATGCCTGTAATCCCAGCACTTGGGTGGCCAAGGCAGGCAGATCACCTGAGGTCAGGAGTTCCTGACCAGCCTCACCAACATGGTGAAAACACATCTCTAGCAATAGTACAAAAAGTAGCTGGGTGTGGTGGCACATGCCTGCAGTCCTAGCTACTACCCAGGCTGAGGCACAAGAATCACTTAAACCCAGGAGATGGAGATTGCAGTCAGCCAAGATTGTGCCACTGCACTCCAGGCTGGGTGACAGAGTGGAACTCTGCCTCAAAACATAAATTTAAAAAAAATTAATTTAAATTAATTAAAATGAAAACTTCACTTCCTCAGTCCACTGGCCACTTTTTTTTTTTTCCTTTTTTTCTTTTTTCGAGTCCACTGAAGGAGACCTAAGCATCTAAGACCACCTCCCCCTTAACCTCTACACTGCATTTCAATAGAAGTAAAGGCTGAGCTCAAGCGATCCTCCCACCTCAGCCTCCTCCCACCTCAGCAGACCGGGCACCACCTTCATCGCCCTTCCTTTTTTTTTTTGAGACAGAGTTTCTCTCTTGTTACCCAGGCTGGAGGGCAATGGCGCAATCTCGGCTCACCACAAACTCTGCCTCCTGGGTTCAGGCAATTCTCCTGCCTCAGCCTCCTGAGTAGGTGGGATTACAGGCACACGCCACCATGCCCAGCTAATTTTTTGTATCTTTAGTAGAGATGGGGTTTCACCATGTTGACCAGGATGGTCTCAATCTCTTGACCTCGTGATCCACCCGCCTCGGCCTCCCAAAGTGCTGGGATTACAGGCTTGAGCCACCGTGCTCGGCCTCATTGCCCTCCTTTAGATCGCAGGCACGGTATGGAGGAATCTTTCTGGGCGGCATTGTTTTTAAACAAGATCAAACCCCCACCTAAGCCACATACCCGACGCCTCCTTCATGGACCAAGACCCTTTCACCTGTAATTTCTAGAGTTGTAAGCCTTTATAAGGGCAGGGACTTCCTTTGTTAGATGAGCTTGGCATTTAGGCAGCTATGCCGCCTTGCTCCCTGCCGAATAAATCACCCCTTCCTTCCCAGTTCAGTGTTCCTTGCAGCTGTTCCTGCTGTATTTGGTTCCCTGACTGGGAAGCAAGTTTCAGTTGGCAGATAACTCACACAGCCTTTCAGGTGCACTAAATCTGTTATTGAAATTTTTCAGCATGGTCCCTAAAGGAGTGGGCTTGCTATGAGTGTGACCCATGTTTACACACAGAAAAACAGCCCTCGCAGACAGTTAAGAGAGTGTTCTCCACCCACAGCAGTTCCCGCCCAGTACGGCATGCCACACTCTGTTTCACATTCGCTTCAGGATGGTAGGAGCACCCCCTCTTGGGGAGAGTTTCAGAAGCTGCTTGGCATTGGGGCGTTCGTTAATCCCCTCACAACACCTAGATTTCAAGGGCACCTCCTTGAATAGCTGTATGTGGATTGTCCCTGATCTCAGCCGGCCCCACATTTCACTGGGAGCTTGAGGTCCCCTCTAATGGACCAGCGGCCACCACATTTCATGGCTGACGAGATCAACTGGACTCCAACCACTCACACAATCGCACTCCTTCCTCAGTTTCCCCCACCTGGTACAACATGACACACTCTGTTTAATATTCACTTCAGGCTGGTAGGATCTTCCCCAGTCTCAGGGAGTGTTTCAGACACCACTTGGCATTGGAGCATTCCGTAATCCCGCGCTCAGCCCTTCAGAGCACCCCTGTCGGGGGCTCCCGCCCACTCCAATGCAAGTCCTGAGAGCGCTCCTGAGCAAGTATTGGCCTGGGTGGAGCGCCTCGCCAGAGCAGAGCAGGAAGGCCCCCACGGTGCGGATCCACCCAGTGGCTGAACACCGAGAAGGAACAGGTACTTGGAGTGTCTGTGCAACAGAAACATCGTAGGACCGATCCTGGGAAACTTGCCCACCTCCTTTAGGTGGAAGCGTGGCCTGATCACCCACGTGTGCCAGATTTGGCACTCTTGAAATTGACTCTCTCTCTGTCTCTTTCTGCAACTA